CTTTCTTTCTTTCTCCCTTTCTTTCTTTCTTTCCTTTTTGGTTGGACGGGAGGTAATTAGGTTTATATATTGATTTACTTTTAGAGGAGGTACTGGGGATTGAACCCAGGACCTCATGCATGCTAAGCATGTGCTCTGGAGCTTGAGCTATACCCTCCCCTACTGAATTGAAATTTCTTATCAAGGAGAAGGAGGTAGTGAAACAAAAATGCTCTGAAAGTAAATACAAAGTGCTTTTTTATTCTTTTCATTTCCAAATTGACTATGGAAATAAGTCATTACATGAGTATATTCGGTGGCAAGGGCTGGAGGGGTCTTGGCTTATGCTTAGGTGCCTAAACTGTGACAGGCCTGGTGTAGGGCTCTCACCATTTTTAATCCTATTAAATTGTCACAAATCCACTGCAATTATGATTATCCCGTTTTATAGATTAAGGGAACTGAGAATTAGAGAGGTGAGGTTGCTTGCTCACGACCCCACCATTGAACTCTGGCTTTTGTGCCGCCTCCCTGGCACATTTTGTGGTTCTTTCTGTTCAAAAGTGGCAATGTGGTATGTTATATTGAGCCTTAAGAATTTCTCATGACCTTTGCCTTTTATTTTATTAGCGGAAAGCATGAGATATTTGATAAAATATGAAAAAAATTAACAATGGGTTTTGTAAATAAAAAATTTGTGATACACAAGTTCAGCCTTCTCATAGATCTTTGAGCACTTGATCTGTTTTGTCTTTTGAAGTCCTTGGAACTTCTTGAGGCTTGTGGCCCTTGGTCTTTTGCACCTAGAAGACTTAGCTAAGACCGGTATTGTATGTCATCACAGAATCATAGGATTTCAGAGCTGGAAAGAGCTTCAGAGATAGTTCAGCTTTCCTTTTTACCATGGAGGAAACAAAGTCCATTTGGTTTCAGTGGCCAGAACGAGCGCCCTGACCAGCACAGCAAGGGCCCACCTGGCAGGCGATGGAGGCTGGCCTAGCCCCGAGTCTCCTTTCTTGGGCAGGAAGTGAGGCCCCAGACAAGCTATGGTTGTCTCACTGCCTGCGTTGGTTACAGTGGCTTCTCCAGACTTCCTCGTCCTGTCTCGTGCCATGGACAGTTCCTGATCTGGTCCTTCTTTTTCACAAATTTTCAGGATTATCTACGAAGACACAGAAAACATTAAATTTGCTTCATTCATTGAGTGTAGGCTATCAAGATATTTTCCAAAACTATCTACTTGACTCTAGGCTGAGCTGTGAAATGTTGGCGTTTGATATTTTTATAGTTCTTGATTTGGAGTCTGTCTCGTGGAACATAAATTCATGCAGTTTATTTGGTGATGGCAAATTGGCACGGAAGTGAGGTAGACTGTTCTCCATAGGGAAAGAGCACTGCCCAAGTGAGCTGGGACCTCTTGCCTTGACCCCAGCTTAGCCATGAACTTGCTCAAAGACCTTGGGAATGCACCTGCCTACAGCCTCTTATGTGCAAAATGAGCATTGGGCTTAACTCCCTCCTCCTCCACCATGGTTACCTTTAGCTCTATAATTATGAGAGATGGAAAATCAGTAAGTAAAACAGCTAATTTAAAACCACTTACTCCATGGGTCCCTTAGCTTTTAGTCTTTAAAACTCAGTGTTAATGCTGATCATATATGATCATCGTAATTAATAGTAATTATGTAATTAATAGTAATTTACAGGGCGTGCTGTGTAATTTATAGGATGTGCTGCATAACTTCCAGGGCCCGGTACACGATGAAAACGTGGGGGCCCTTATTCAGAAACTATTGAGAATTTCAGGATGGTGACACCAAACCGAGCTCTGGGCTCTTCTGTGGGGCTACACTGGTCACATGCCCGTGAAGCTGACTCTGGGCATTGACGACGTGTCTGTGACTTGCCGGGAGCTGTGCTAGGCAGAAGGGCTACAATGACACACAGGACAGACCTGTCCTTGCCTTCATGAAACATGCTGTCAGGTGGCGTAGATAACTACTAAATAATTGTAACCATGAATCTGTTGATGAAAATTGGACAGGTGCCAAGAAGGGCAAGCACAAGACAATATTGGGGGGGGGAGCAGCATAACTGGGAACATCACCTCCCCTAAATCTCATCTGTTTGTGTTTTTCACTTTAATACGCTCCTATTTATGCAGTGTGGAATTTCTTTTCCATCCTTTCCAGCCATATATAGAAGAAATTTGTGAAAGTCTCCGAGGCAACATTTTTCAAAAATTCCTAGAAAGGTATGAAACTTTCTGTGTGTGTCTCTGTGTGTGTGTTTGAGTGTGTGTGTGTGTGTGTGTGTGTGTACATACAAGAAAACTTAAAAAGTTTTAAAAAAAGTTTAAAGGGTCGGGGAGGATATAGCT